CTACTTTATTTTTCCAATAGAAATAACACCATTCTCCATGCACTGTAAAATAGCTATTGATAAGAGGTAAATGAGTAAGCCGTTTGGATAAGGGGACCATATCCCCCGCGCATCCCGCAATGGCGGAGGTGTTGCTAACATTTACGATAGCAAATGTCATCGATTCAGTGGGTTTTGTCCAACATGTCTCCGGACCTACTCATTGCCACAGTCATACCCTGGATCTAGTTTTGTCCTGTGGAATAAATATTGTGGATCTAAATGTTTTTCCTCATAACCTTGGACTATCGGACCACCATCTTATTACGTTTGCAATTGCAACAAATAATCTGCTCAGACCCCAACCAAGGACCGTGCTATAAAGTCTCGGACAACCCAAAGATTCCTAGAGGCCCTTCCAGACTCCCTCCACCTACTCAAGGACGTTGGAGTACAAAAATCAGTAAACGACCTAACTGAGGACCTAAATTTAACCTTGCATAATACCCTAGATGCAGTCACACCCCTAAAAACAAAACACATTTGTCACAAGAAGCTAGCTCCCTGGTATACAGAAAATATCAGAGCCCTGAAGCAAGTCTCCAGAAAATTGGAATGGAAATGGCACTCCACCAAACTGGAAGTCTTCCTACTAGCTTGGAAAGAAAGAACAGAGCAATATCGAAGAGCCCTCACTGCTTCTCGATCATCCTATTTTTCCAACCTAATTGAGGAGAATAAGAACAATCCAAAATGTATATTTGATACTGTTGCAAAGCTAACTAAAAAGCAGCATTCCCCAAGAAAGGATGCCTTTCACTTCAGCAGTGATGAATTCATGAACTTATTTGACAAAAGATCATGATTATTAGAAAGCAAATTACAGACTCCTCTTTGAATCTGCGTATTTCTCCAAACCTCAGCTGTCCTGAGTCTGCACGAAACTGCCAGGACCTAGGATCAATGGAGACACTCAAGTTTTTTAATCCTATATCTCTTGACACATTCATGAAAATAGTATTGGCCTTCAAGCTGCATACTGGACCCTATTCCAACTAAACTACTGAAAGAGCTACTTCCTGTGCTTGGCCCTCCTATGTTGAAGATAATAAATGTCTCCCTATCCACTTGATGTGTTTCAAACTCACTAACAGTAGCAGTAATAAAGCCTCTCTTGAAAAAGCTAAACCTTGACCCAGAAAATGTAAAAAACTATCGGCCTATATCGAATCTCCCATTCCTCTCAAACATTTTTGAAAAATCTGTTGTGCAGCAACTCACTGCCTTCCTGAAGACAAAAAATGTATACGAAACGCTTCAGTCTGGTTTTAGACCCCATCATAGCACTGAGATCGCACTCGGGAAGGTGGTAAATTACTTTTTAATGGCGTCAGAACAAGGCTCTGCATCTGTTCTCGTGCTCCTAGACGTTAGTGCTGCTTTTGACACCATCGAGATTGGAAACCTTAATTGGTCTACATGGACAAGTTCTTGCCTGGTTTAGATCTTATCTGTCGGAAAGATATCAGTTTGTCTTTGTGGATGGTTTGTCCTCTGACAAATCAATTGTACGTTTCGGTGTTCCTCAAGGTTCCGTTTTAGGACCACTATTGTTATCACTATTTATTTTACCTCTTGGTGATGTCATTCGGAAACACAATGTTAACTTTCATTGCTATGCGGACAACACACAGCTCTACATTTCGATGAAACATGGTGAAGCCCCAAAATTGCCTACCCTGGAAGCATGTGTTTCAGACATAAGGAAGTGGATGGCGGCACATTTGTTACTTTTAAACTCAGACAAAACAGAGATGCTAGTTCTAGGTCCCAAGAAACAAAGAGATCTTCTGCTGAATCTGACAATTAATCCTGATGCTTGTACAGTCGTCTAAAAAAAAACGGTGAAGGACCTTGGCGTTACTCTGGACCCTGATCTCTCTTTTGACAAACATATCAATAATATTTAAAGGACAGCTTTTTTCCAACTTCGGAACATTGCAAAATCAGAAACCTGTTGTCCAGAAATGATGCAGAAAAGCATCATGCATCATAATCCATGCTTTTGTCACTTCTAGATTAGACTACTGCAATGCTCTACTCTTCGGCTACCCGGATAAAGCACTAAATAAACTTCAGTTAGTGCTAAACACGTCTGCTAGAATCTTGACTAGAACCAAAACATTTGATCACATTATTCCTGTGCTAGCCTCTCTACACTGGCTTCCAGTTAAGGCTAGGGTTGATTTCAAGGTTTTACTGCTAACCTACAAAGCATTACATGGGCTTGCTCCTTCCTATCTCTCCGATTTTGTCCTGCTGTAAATACCTACACGTATGCTACGGTCACAAGACGCAGGCCTCCTTACTGTCCCTAGAATTTCTAAGCAAACAGCGGGAGGCAGGGCTTTCTCCTATAGAGCTCAATTTTTATGGAATGGTCTCCCTATCCATGTGAGAGACGCAGACTCTGTCTCGACCTTTAAGTCTTTACTGAAGACTCATCGCTTCAGTAGGTCCTATGATTGAGTGTAGTCTGGCCCAGGGGTTCGAAGGTGAACGGAAAGGCACTGGAGCGACGAACCGCCCTTGCTGTCTCTGCCTGGCCGGTTCCTGTCTCTCCATTGGGATTCTCTGCCTCTGACCCTATTACGGGGGCTGAGTCACTGGCTCACTGGTGCTTTCCATGCCGTCCCAAGGAGGGGTGCATCACTTGAGTGGGTTGAGTCACTGACGTGATCGTCCTGTCCGGTTTGTCGCTCCCTCGGGCTCATGCAGTGGAGGAGATCTTTGTGGGCTATACTCAGCCTTGTCTCAGGGTAGTAGGTTGGTGGTCTTGTGGTGTTGGGGCTGTGCTTTGGCTAAGTGGGTGAGGTTATATCCTGCCTGGTTGGCCCTGTCCAGGGGTATCGTCGGACGGGGCCACAAGACCTAGCCACCGTACTTCTACATCTGCATTGCTTGCTGTTTGGGGTTTTAGACTGGGTTTCTGTATAGCTGATGTAAAAAGGGCTTTATAAATACAATTTGATTTAAACACATTTTTGATTGATTGTAAATATACATGACAATTGTTTTAGATCTATTTTACCTTATAACAAATGTGAAATAAGTCATCTGGCAGTAAACTGAAGCATATCAACATATAACCTTTTCCACAGTGAGGTTTATGAAATGCTGGCCTTACAACTTGCAGGGATGAAATTTGGAGACCCAAGCTATAGGCTTCAGTAGCCATGTGCAAATGACAGTATAGCGTCAAACCTACAGAGTTTATTTATGACTTTTCACTGTATTTTGTACAATTTGTATCATGTCACATATTAGCCACTATCGGTAGTCACCGTCAGTTATAAGCCTACCACATACATTTACAACTGTCACTTTAGTGTTAGATTCCTTACATTTTGCATCATTCCATTACATCGTTAGTTTACTTTTCTTTCCTCTGTCATGTTCATGTGGTTGTTCCTGAGGATCGCTAGCAATAGTGGATCATATTAGGCTAACGTATTACAAGTTGTGCAATAATTTGGGACATGTAGCCTATTTGAATCATTATGGAACCCAGACCGTACGTAGAAGTTTAAACCTGGAGCCTGGCACACAGTTCATGAAGATTGGACCATTGTCATCACAGTTCCAAGATTAGTGAGGATTATTAGGGTAGATTTATAGCACTACTGTTCAACCCATATTGGTTACATTTTATCACCTTCCCAAAATGTTCTTTTTCTTTTTTTTTCCTTTGTTTGATAATGAAATGAACAATTGAATATGGAAACTTTCATGATGAATCAAACCACTGTATTTTTGATTCACCAATATATTTTATTTGTAAAGGGCTTCTCCAAAACCTGTTTTTTTTTATATGTATAAATACTTTCCTAACCCTAAATAATATTACAGAATCAGAGTATTTTTTAATCTACCAATTGGTGCTGAAAAGGAGACGAATATGCATGTATTTATGCTGAACAAAAATATAAATGCAACATGCAAACATTTAAATGATTTTACAGTTCATATAAGGAAATCAGTCAATTGAATGGCTTAAATTTATGTTATGCATTTTCCAGTGCTGCTTTACATCATCACATTTGGGGGGTGCTTGGAGAAGGAAGTATTCCTACTTCTAGCCCGACATAATCACTTGAGGATTAAAGAGAGAGAGCAAGAAGTACTCTCTAATTAATTGCAGTGCAAATTTCACCCGCAGCTAGAACGTGCTCCTAATCCAAGTTATCAAAGGAACTTGCAAAAAGAGCCGTTGGGGAAAATAATTGTAGTTTGCCGAGTATAAGGAATCCACCTCTGGTCTCTTACAGTCAAATTGAGATCTGTCTAAACATCATCATGTGAGGTCACCATCATTACAGTAAGTGCCAAGGAGGCCAAAAGTTCACGCGCCTGCCCCAGTCTGAGAATCATACTCTAATCAGTACACTCTTAGAAAAAAAGGGTTCCAAAAGTGTTCTTCAGCTGTCCCCATAGGAGAACCCTTTTTGGTTCCAGTTAGAACCCTTTTTGGTTCCAGGTAGAACCCTTTGGGTTCCTTGTAGAACCCCCTGTGAAAAGGGTTCTAACTGGAACCAAAAAGGGTTCTTCAAATGGTTCTCCTATGGGGACAGCTGAAGAACCCTTTAACGTTCTAGATAGCTCCTTTTTTTTCTGCATATACAGTCTCATTAACAAGCTGTTTTTTAGAGAGAGACTTGACCTCCTCTGTATCCCGCTGCTGGAGATGGTTGGTTTCTTTGTTGTTGTTTTGGTTAAAAAATATAAAATAATGAGAGCAACATTACTTTATTTAAACACAATGTTAAGCTTTACAAAAACTTAAACAATGCATACAGGTCCTTCGTTTCTTTGTTGTTGTGGTTATTATAAGTTAAGATAGTTGTGCTCATCTCAATAAGGTATTTATAAGTCAAATCTATCTTAATCAAGGGGTATATTTCAATAGTTGAAATTACCAATGAGTTGCTTGAAATCGTACAGATTGTGACTATCCGTGGTCACTACTTGACTGTCACTGCTCTCTGACTGGGTGTTTCTGGAGACAAAGGCGTATAGGAATGGATCCTGTTGATGAAGACCAGAGATCCAACAATCCTCCAATTGGCCTCCCAAAACACTCTCAGAGCCTTATTCTTCATCAAGATGACCGCCATTCCCAGCACATTCATGACATGATGAGTCCATAGAATGATGAAGGTCCCAATGATGAGGTTTACTAATCTGGTCATCCTGGGGCTCCTGAAGAAAGCTGTTTGGTCCACCCTTTGGTGGAGTCGGATATAGGCTGTGGCCATGACGGAGAAAGGAACTGCAAATGCCAGGAGAGTCTGCAGGAGCAACACAGCCACCTGCTCAGCGTCTGATGCAAAAGCATATCGGCACCGGACCCATCCATTCTCATCCTGCGTCACATCCCGCACCAACACCCCATTAGGGATAGACAGGACCCAGCTACCCCCAACAGGACAACTAGCAGCCCCCTCTCCTTTGCCACTCCCATTCTGGCCCAGCTGTGGGAATGCACTACCTGGAGGAAGTGCTGGAATGCTCAATAGTGTGACAGTCAGCAGGCTAGTGTAGGCACTGCAGTAGAAAAAGTAGGTGATGAGCTTACAGAGGACTAGACCCAGGCTCCAGGTAAAGACTAGGTTGTAGATTACCAAAGGTAGGGTGAGGAATCAAAGCAGGTCAGGTGAAGCCAAGTTCAACATCAGCATCTGGCTCAAACTGGATAGATCTTGGTTTCGACGAAGGTTGACCATCACTGCGATGTTCCCTGGAAGACCTATTAGGAAGCAGAGAGTCAAGACCACGCCAGGCTCTCCACCCCTATTTTTCCTTGAAGTATGCAAATGCTCAATGCTAGTATTTTAGGAGTAATACACAATGTAATAATTCTCCCCCTTTTACCATGCTTTTATTGTCATGCCCTAACATCTCAAAATAATGTTATACCAAGTAATTGAGCAACATAATCCATTTAAAAGATGATTTAGGAAAGAAATTCCAAACATGCTAAACAGGGGATCTATCTACAGATATTGTATGTCATGCTTTTTCACAATTATAACCAAATGCTACCTGTGTGTAGGAGGAGGGCAATGATGACAAACAATAACAAGGCTCTGAACACAACGGAACGGGTTATAAACCAGCATGTACTGGTATATTTATTACAGGAACTGAAGATTGTACAAACTTGAAATAAAATGCTTCCCACTTAGGGTCTCATGAAACTTAGACTGGTCTACAGACAAACTAAATGGGCTGGGCTGCTACCCAGCATACCAACCACAAAGTGTCCAAATGAAATCTTCACTAGGTCTATGGGACCAGAGTGGTATACTATTTAATGGCACCAAAGAAAACAAGTGAAAGACAAAAGTACAGGGGGAAAAAAGTAAAAATGGTGTACAGGTGAGGTTGGAAACCCTGTGCCAGTGCTCCACCTGCTGGTAGGTCTGTTTTCTGGGTTTTGGAGAGGAGACATCGACCATGGTTAGACACGTCAGACTCTTTAAACATCTCTGTTTCTGAATGACGATCCAACTCCCCTTCAGAACTATTCACCCATGACAAAACTTCACTCAATAGAGTATTGGGCTGCTTCTCTTAGTTGATAGCCCTCTTCCATACCCATTGGACTGGGTGGACGACCGGCAGAGTTCTTCCACTGCCTCCTTTGCCGTTGCCTGCTTTCTTGTTTGTTTCCTTCCAACTTGTTAAGTGTAATATACTTGGCTACAAAGAAAAGCTTGGTAGACAAGATCTTTCCTGTTGGGTGGAGATATCTTCTTCATATGAGGGTTAACACATGTACACATAAACATAATTAGATTCTAATGAATCATAGTTGTTGAACGTCTTCCATGGCTATCCTAGTATCCTGGTAGCTGGAATGAGTTCAATGTTAGATTAATATTCAGTCTGTGGTCTCATAATGGCTTGTTCTATTTTCCCACATTCAGTGGCAGTATTTCTCACAGCGGTGTCTAACCCCTAATTGTTCTTCCAGCTAATACACAATCACCACATCTCCTTCGCCTGTTGGTTTTATCCATGGGAGCCATTATGTTGAGGTATAGCGTAATCACAATTAAACAGAACACATATTTTATCTCATTTTGTTGCAATAAAGAAAATATCCCTGAAACAGATTGGAGTTTACCTTTTAGCTCCAACTTCTCCCAAAGGTCTTCAATCCAATCTGTGTTAAACTAAACAGATCTTACATTATTCATGCTTGAATGTATTTATCCTTACTTAACTAAACAGATGGACATCTCAAACAAGCCATGATCTAAATTATGTTGTGTGAGGAAAGCAAGAGATGGTTTGTTTCCATGAATAAACGTAATTTAACAAACCATGTGAAAATAACAACTTAAATGATAAAATATGCTATTTAGCAGCCACTTTTATCCAAAGAGACTTACAGCCATGCGTGCCTAAATTATATTCATGGGTGGCCCCAGCGGGAACACCAATATACTGTACACTACCGGTCAAAAGATTTAGAACACCTACTCATTCAAGGGTTTTTCATAATTTTTACTATTTTCTTCATTGTAGAATAATAGTGAAGACATCAAAACCATTAAATAACACATATGGAATCATGTAGTAACCAGAAAAGTGTTAAACAAATCAAAATATATTTTATATTTGAGATTCTTCAAAAAAAGTAGCCACCCTTTGCCTTGATGACAGCTTTGCACATTCTTGGCATTCTCTCAAACAGCTTCACCTGGAATGCTTTTCCAACAGTCTTGAAGGAGTTCCCACATATGTTGAGCACTTGTTTGCTGCTTTTCCTTCACTCTGCGGTCCGACTCATTCCAAACCATCTCATTTTGGTTGAGGTCGGGGGATTGTGGAGGCCAGGACATCTGATGAAGCACTCCATCACTCTCCTTCTTGGTCAAATAGCCCTTACACAGCCTGGACGTGTGTTAGGTCATTGTCCTGTTGAAAAACAAATGATAGTCCCACTAAGCCCAAACCAGATGGGATGGCGTATCGCTGCAGAATGCTGTGGTAGCCATGCTGTTTAAGTGTGCCTTGAATTCTAAATAAATCACAGACAGTGTCACCAGCAAAGCACCCCCACACCATAACACCTACTCCTCCATGCTTTACACTGGGAAATACACATGCGGAGATCATTCATTCACCCACACCGCATTGGACACGGAGGTTGGAACCAAAAATCTCACATTTGGACTCCAGGCCAAAGGACACATTTCCACCGGTCTAATGTCCATTGTTCGTGTTTCTTGGCCCAAGCAAGTCTCTTCTTATTATTGGTGTCCTTTAGTAGTGGTTTCTTTGCAGCAATTCGACCATGAAGGCCTGATTCACACAGTCTCCTCTGAACAGTTGATGTTCAGATGTGTATGTTACTTGAACTCTGTGAAGCATTTATTTGGGTTGCAATTTCTGAGGCTGGTAACTCTAATGAACTCCTCTGCAGCAAAGGTAACTCTCGGTCTTCCATTCCTGTGGCGGTCTTCATGAGAGCCAGTTTCATCATAGCACTTGATGGTTTTTGTGACTGCACTTAAAGAAACATTCAAAGTTCTTGAAATGTTCCATATTGACTGACCTTCATGTCTTAAAGTAATGATGGACTGTAATTTCTATTTGGTTATTTGAGCTGTTCTTGCCATAATATGGACTTGGTCTTTTACCAAATAGGGATATCTTCTGTAACCCCCCCCCCCCTACCCTGTCACAACACAACTGATTGGCTCAAATGCATTGAGAAGGAAAGAAATTCCACAAATTAACTTTTAAGAAGGCACACCTGTTAATTGAAATGCATTCCAGGTGACTCCCTCATGAAGCTGGTTGAGAGAATGCCAAGATTGTGCAAAGCTGTCATCAAGGCAAAGGGTGCCTATTTGAAGAATCTCAAATATAAAATATATTTTGATTTGTTTAACACTTTTTTGGTTACTACATGATTCCATATGTGTTATTTCATAGTTTTTATGTCTTCACTATTATTATACAATGTAGAAAATAGTAAAAATAAAGAAAAACCCCTTGAATGAGTAGGTGTTCTAAAACTTTTGACCGGTAGTGTACTTTATGATATTGATGTATACAGTTCCCTAGAGGTTTAGATACACCCTCCCATCCTCAAAATGTACTCAGAATGTACTACTGTATTTCTCAAAGTCCAACAAATTTCCAATGGCAATAATACTGTACTGCACTCCCTGAGCAGCAAATCCTTGGAAGACATACCATCCTTGGACAATGAATGTGTATGTGAGAGGTACTGTAGCCTATACCAGGCTGGAGGCTACACACGCACACACACACACGCAGGCAGTATACACTGAGTGTACAAAAACATTAAGAACACCTTCCTAATATTGAGTTGCAACCCCCACCCCACCCCACCCCTTTTGCCCTCAGAACAACCTCAATTTGTCGGGGCATGGACTACAAGGTGTCGAAAGCATTCCCAATGCTTCCCACAGTTGTGTCAAGTTGGCTGGATGTCCTTTGGGTGGTGGACCATTCTTTATACACACAGGAAACTGTTGAACGTCAAAAACCCAGCAGCGTTTCAGTTCTTGACACAAACCGGTGCGCCAACACCTACTAATATACCCCATTCAAAGGCACTTAAATCTTATGTGTTGCCCATTCACCCTCTGAATTGCACACACAAACCACCCATGCCTCAATTGTCTCAAGGTTTAAAAATCCTTCTTTAACCTGTCTCCTCCCCTTCATCTACACTGGTTGAAGGGATTTAACAAGTGACATCAATAAGGGATCATAGCTTTCACCTGGATTCACCTGGTCAGTCTATGTCATGGTAAGAGCAGGTGTTCTTAATGTTTTGTACACTCAGTGTATACAGTATCTACAAGTCAACCCATAGCATAGCTCCCAGTAGCCACATATCCATTAGGCATTGGTAGCCAAATGCAGACAGATCAAACATAATCTAACAAAACAAATGTCTGTGTATCATTGCTGAGCTGTAGTGGGTTGCATGGGTTATTGGAATACAGCTTCAATGTAAATGAAAGGTTTGCTATGCTTAGTGGAGATGAATGCATCACAAAGGGAGGTGTGTTGTACATGACCCTCTGGAGATTTTTCAGCGCGCTGTGTTTTAGGGATCACCCGCTGTAGACATCTGACTGGCGACATTTTTCACATGATTCTCCATGTAAAATCGATGCACGCTCGCAAATTACATTCACAGGTGCTAAGTACTCTCGGCCAGCAATCGCTACTGCTCTGTCTGAGCTCTTAAGGTTAGGGATAGGGTTAACCTTGACAGTTAAGTTTAGGTATTCATATCGAGTGGTTAAGGTAAGGGTTAAGGTTTGGGATAGTGTTAACCTTGACGGTTAAGTTTAGGTAACCCTGCAGATAGCCCTACTGGGTGGTCTGAAAAGTCATAGTCAATCGATCAATAATATAATAATACTTTTAGCAAAAAAAATTATATTCAATTTACGATCTGTAGAAACAATGAGAATAGAAAGGTTCAGAACTTTTGTAAAACATCACAGTACAGTTGAAAAATATATGGCAAATAGAAATCCAACATGGATGGTGTTACGAGATAGATGGGAGGTGTTGAATGGAGCTGAAGGATGGGGCTAATAACAACAACTAATAACAACAAGATAACAAATGTAAAGCATACTGTGTCCATAATAAGTATATAGGTTATAGGTTGAGAGCTTTTGTGAAAGAGCAGAGTTAGAAAAATATGGCATATAGAAGCAAACCGGATGGACATCATGAAAATGATCAGAGGAAGTTCAGGAGTAAAAACAAACAAAATATAATGATTGTAGAATTTGACTGTGTCCATAAAATGTACAGTGGGGAAAAAAAGTATTTAGTCAGCCACCAATTGTGCAAGTTCTCCCACTTAAAAAGATGAGAGAGGCCTGTAAGTTTCATCATAGGTACACGTCAACTATGACAGACAAAATGAGAAGAAAAAAATCCAGAAAATCACATTGTAGGATTTTTAATGAATTTATTTGCAAATTATGGTGGAAAATAAGTATTTGGTCAATAACAAAAGTTTCTCAATACTTTGTTATATACCCTTTGTTGGCAATGACACAGGTCAAACGTTTTCTGTAAGTCTTCACAAGGTTTTCACACACTGTTGCTGGTATTTTGGCCCATTCCTCCATGCAGATCTCCTCTAGAGCAGTGATGTTTTGGGGCTGTCGCTGGGCAACACAGACTTTCAACTCCCTCCAAAGATTATCTATAGGGTTGTTATCTGGAGTCTGGCTAGGCCACTTCAGGACTCCTTCGTTGCCCGGGCGGTGTGTTTGGGATCATTGTCATGCTGAAAGACCCAGCCACGTTTCATCTTCAATGCCCTTGCTGATGGAAGGAGGTTTTCACTCAAAATCTGACGATACATGGCCCCATTCATTCTTTCCTTTACACGGATCAGTCGTCCTGGTCCCTTTGCAGAAAAACAGCCCCAAAGCATGATGTTTCCACCCCCATGCTTCACAGTAGGTGTGGTGTTCTTTGGATGCAACTCAGCATTCTTTGTCCTCCAAACACGACGAGTTGAGTTTTTACCAAAAGTTCTATTTTGGTTTCATCTGACCATATGACATTCTCCCAATCCTCTTCTGGATCATCCAAATGCACTCTAGCAAACTTCAGATGGGCCTGGACATGTACTGGCTTAAGCAGGGGGACACGTCTGGCACTGCAGGATTTGAGTCCCTGGCGGCGTAGTGTGTTACTGATGGTAGGCTTTGTTACTTTGGTCCCAGCTCTCTGCAGGTCATTCACTAGGTCCCCCCGTGTGGTTCTGGGATTTTTGCTCACCGTTCTTGTGATCATTTTGACCCCACGGGGTGAGATCTTGCGTGGAGCCCCAGATCGAGGGAGATTATCAGTGGTCTTGTATGTCTTCCATTTCCTAATAATTGCTCCCACAGTTGATTTCTTCAAACCAAGCTGCTTACCTATTGCAGATTCAGTCTTCCCAGCCTGGTGCAGGTCTACAATTTTGTTTCTGGTGTCCTTTGACAGCTCTTTGGTCTTGGCCATAGTGGAGTTTGGAGTGTGACTGTTTGAGGTTGTGGACAGGTGTCTTTTATACTGATAACAAGTTCAAACAGGTGCCATTAATACAGGTAACGAGTGGAGGACAGAGGAGCCTATTAAAGAAGAAGTTACAGGTCTGTGAGAGCCAGAAATCTTGCTTGTTTGTAGGTGACCAAATACTTATTTTCCACCATAATTTGCAAATAAATTCATTAAAAATCCTACAATGTGATTTTTCTGGAAAAGAAATTCTCATTTTCTCTGTCATAGTTGACGTGTACCTATGATAAAAATTACAGGCCTCTCTCATCTTTTTAAGTGGGAGAACTTGCACAATTAGTGGCTGACTAAATAATTTTTTTCCCCACTGTATATGTATGTTTGTATGTATGTATATATATATATATATATATATTTGCGAGAAAAAAAAACATATGGGGGACTGGAAGTGATGCAGACAATTACATTGATGGAAGTTACAATCTATAAAAAAAAGTTTAGGTATTCATATCGAGTGGTTCAGGTAAGGGTTAAGGTTTAGGATAGGGTTAACTTTGACGGTTAAGTTTAGGTATTCATATCGAGTGGTTAAGGTAAGGGTTAAGGTTTGGGATAGGGTTAACCTTGACGGTTAAGTTTAGGTATTCATATCGAGTGGTTAAGGTAAGGGTTAAGGTTTGGGATAGGGTTAACCTTGACGGTTAAGTTTAGGTATTCATATCAAGTGGTTAAGGTAAGGGTTAAGGTTTGGGATAGGGTTAACCTTGACGGTTAAGTTTAGGTATTCATATCGAGTGGTTAAGGTAAGGGTTAAGGTTTGGGACAGTGCCTAGCACTGGGATTGAACCCACAATCCTCAGAACGGAAGTTCACGGTTTAAGCTCATCCTCAACCCAATTGCGTGTCTACTAGATTGTAATAGGCGCTCGTGTTGCCCCCTAGTGGATGGTAGGAAATTACCACGGAATAAAATGACACCCCAGGCCATAATTTCACCATTTCAAATATGCCTAATAAGCCATAATACACTAAAGTTTGACCTGACATTTCTACAAACGTTCACACACACACACACACACACACACGCACGCGCGCGCGCGCGCGCACGCACGCCATGTGGTGCAGAATGTCTTTTGACAAGTGCTCAGATCAGCTCTACAGGGATTCCAATTCATTAGTACAGACACAGTCATTACTCTACACAGACACACAGAGACAGTGACAACATACAGTGAGGGAAAAAAGTATTTGATCCCCTGCTGATTTTGTACGTTTGCCCACTGACAAAGACATGATCAGTCTATCATTTTAATGGTAGGTTTATTTGAACAGTGAGAGACAGAATAACAACAACAAAAATCCAGAAAAACGCATGTCAAAAATGTTATAAATTGATTTGCATTTTAATGAGGGAAATAAGTATTTGACCCCTCTGCAAAACATTACTTAGTACTTGGTGGCAAAACCCTTGTTGGCAATCACAGAGGTCAGACGTTTCTTGTAGTTGGCCACCAGGTTTGCACACATCTCAGGAGGGATTTTGTCCCACTCCTCTTTGCAGATCTTCACCAAGTCATTAAGGTTTCGAGGCTGACGTTTGACAACTCAAAACTTCAGCTCCCTCCACAGATTTTCTATGGGATTAAGGTCTGGAGACTGGCTAGGCCACTCCATGACCTTAATGTGCTTCTTCTTGAGCCACTCCTTTGTTGCCTTGGCCGTGTGTTTTGGGTCATTGTCATGCTGGAATACCCATCCACGACCCATTTTCAATGCCCTGGCTGAGGGAAGGAGGTTCTAACCCAAGATTTGACGGTACATGGCCCCGTCCATCGTCCCTTTGATGCGGTGAAGTTGTCCTGTCCCCTTAGCAGAAAAACACCCCCAAAGCATAATGTTTCCACCTCCATGTTTGACGGTGGGGATGGTGTTCTTGTGGTCGTAGGCAGCATTCCTCCTCCTCCAAACACGGCGAGTTTAGTTGATGCCAAAGAGCTCGATTTTGGTCTCATCTGACCACAACACTTTCACCCAGTTCTCCTCTGAATCATTAAGATGTGCAGTGGCAAACTTCAGACGGCCCTATATATGTGCTTTCTTGAGCAGGGGGACATTGCGGGCACTGCAGGATTTCAGTTCTTCACGACGTAGTGTGTTACCAATTGTTTTCTTGGTGACTATGGTCCCAGCTGCCTTGAGATCATTGACAAGATTCTCCCGTGTAGTTCTGGGCTGATTCCTCACCGTTCTCATGATCATTGCAACTCCACGAGGTGAGATCTTGCATGGAGCCCCAGGCCGAGGGAGACTGACAGTTCTTTTGTGTTTCTTCCGTTAGCGAATAATCGCACCAACTGTTGTCACCTTCTCACCAAGCTGCTTGGCGATGGTCTTGTAGCCCATTCCAGCCTTGTGTAGGTCTACAATCTTGTCCCTGACATCCTTGGAGAGCTCTTTGGTCTTGGCCATGGTGGAGAGTTTGGAATCTGATTGATTGATTGCTTCTGTGGACAGGTGTCTTTTATACAGGTAACAAACTGAGATTAGGAGCACTCCCTTTAAGAGTGTGCTCCTAATCTCAGCTCGTTACCTGTATAAAAGACACCTGGGAGCCAGAAATCTTTCTGATTGAGAGGGGGTCAAATACTTATTTCCCTCATTAAAATGCAAATCAATTTATAACATTTTTGACATGTGTTTTTCTGGATTATTTTGTTGTTATTCTTGTCTCTCACTGTTCAAATAAACCTACCATTGAAATTATAGAATGATCATTTCTTTGTCAGTGGGCAAACGTACAAAATCAGCAGGGGATCAAATACTTTTTTCCCTCACTGTACACACAGAGATTGCCCACATCCGGTACTGTATATCATAAGCCTACAATCTGCCTAAATAAGAGAATTTCATCATGTCTATACATCACAGGTTAACCTTCACTCTATATATTATTGGTTAACCTGTCTATACATTACAGCATTGAAATAATTATGTGGTCTGTACAGTATATCATTTGTGTACTGTATATCTAGTAGGTCATAAACTTGTCTGTGCCCCTGCAAATTGACAAAGGATGATTCTTACAGTGAGTGATGAGGACAATGACAATGATAGGGACCCTATCATTAGAGAGCTATTCACCAAGCCCAACCTCCTTCCATACTGGATTAGTCCCCTACACAGATATCTTGATGCATAAAACCTCCATCAAGAACAGGGGGACTAGTTCACAATGTACATTATAACGACCACTTCATCCTCAGCCCAGTGTTTGTCTCCTGGGCCACGCTGTGGGGATGGGGTAGGAGGGTCACACCCCTGAGAGCTTTGGGGGGCAGAGGGAGGTTCACAAACGCATGCACGCACAAATACACAGACACACCACGGCCCTGGTCTGATTTCTCCCTGGGTTAGTCTTGAGAGGGAAGAACACATTGATCTATGAATCTAATTTGGTGTCCTACCGTTGGATCCTACAGGCATTAATTGATGGACTGCTCCTTCACAGCATCCCTGCCAAAGCTGATGTCAATAGAATGCTAGGAGGTGATCAATGTTAAAGATCCTGGTGATGACTGGATGTGACACTAATTTCATTATATCAGTTGCACCCTAGTACAGGACCAATGGTCATGATAAGCGATGAGAGAGAATACAACAATATTTGTTTTCATGTGTTACTGTTGTATAGTTAATACATTATGCTATGTGTGTTGACAATGACTCAATAAAACAATATGGCCAAGCAGTTTTTTGTTAGTTTATGACATGGTATTACTGTAGCTAATGTATGCGAGATATAGTACTTTTGTATGTGTTATATTAGCTGCTTTGCATTTTCCAATGTTTGTGTTTATGTGTGCTAATTATACACGTGACAGATATAAAGAATGTGACACGCATTCATGTGTCTCAGTGTGTGGTGTGTGAATGAGTGCATGTGTGACTGTGTTCTCACAACACGTGTCTGTTATTCTTTTCCCATATGCAAAAGTTTGTATGTGAGAGAGAGCGGGAGAGAGAGAGACACAGAGAGAGAGAGAGAGCCCTTCTAAAAAAAAACATCAAATTTGCAGTTTCACATGTGAAATAGCTGTTTCACATGTTGAGCTTAAATGTCACGTTAAACCATATTTTCACAAGAGAAGAAAAACATGTTTTCACCTCACGTGAGAATCAAAATGGCAGTTTCATATGTAAGAAAATTCCACATGTAAAAATCTCACTTTCACATACGGAATTGCATTTTCACATGTAAAAAACTAATCACATGTAAAAATCACATTTGCAGTTTCATATGTAAGAAAACTCCACATTTGAAAATGTAACTTTCACATGTGGAATTGCAAGTTCACATTGTGGTGAAATAGTTTTATTCTCCTCACGTGAAAAGGTGGTGTTAACATGTTGCAATAACAATGTTTCAACATATGTAATTGCAAATTCTGTAATGCCATTCTGTAAAAAGGTAACTTAGCCTACCTGAGTATAATAATTCAAGTGTGTTAAAAATAATTATTTCTTATTTCTGAGCCATCCATTCGGAGTGTTACTGCAGCAGGCGCACGCCTCTCTTCTTCATACATTGGTCATTGATCATAGGAAGTAGCCCAGAGAAAAGAGCAGAGAAGTTAGCGCTATATGTCTCCTAACTTATCCCTTTTAACATGTTAAAATTAGCGCTGTCAGAGTTAATCAGTACATTTTTTGAAATGTTTGTGTCTTTTTTTTTTTTTTTTACCGCATTGTCTGAAAGTATTCAAAATACACTGAAAACATCCAAAATACATAATCTATACAGCAAAAAATTAAAATGCATTAATATTGCAGATAGATTGTAGCTTCCATCAATGTAATTGTCTGCATCATTTCCAATCCCCCATATATTTTTTTGTAAATACAGTATATCCCATATCTGCACAAAATTGAAAGCTCTCTCTGTCACAACTCCTGAACCCAGACACACTGGGCTCTGGCATTTGCAACCATTTTTCTTTATCACTCACTTAACTCCACACTTTTCCAAATACAAAAACACACACCCCACCTTCCATCACAATACACCAGCACATACCCACACACCGTGGCTTCTATGTCCTCTGTTTGCTGTGTTTTTATCCCTATCGTGTTGATTCCTACCTAATTTCAGGCTTTTGAGTACTTTTGTGTTCCAGTTCCTTATATTTGAAGATGTATTATTTCAATAATTATCCTTTCTTCTAAAGCTTTCGTCTCCTCCCGTTGCTCCCCTCCGGCGCTCTGATTCCCCTTCTACTGAGCCACCGGTCTGAGCACACATTTTACATTTTAGTCATTTAGCAGACGCTCTTATCCAGAGCGACTTACAGTTAGTGAGTGCATACATTTTTTGCACCACCTCGGCAACACCGGAATGGAAACCCAACGCACCCTAATCACCTTCAGCGCACCTGCACCTCATCATCTCATCACCACCCCTATATAGCCCTTGACTGTTCAGTGTTGTGTTGTGTGTGATTGTTAGTGTCTTGTCGTGTACTCGCTCTTTGTTGTTCTCTTGCTCAGTGTTAAGTAAACCTTTACATTGTTGATTCCTGCGTCTCCGTCCTGCCTCTTCGTATCCTCAGTACTCGTCACACTGTCTTTTATCTATTTATAAATACTATAAATAGAAAGTCAAATACTAATTATTTTACCACATTCCCTATCTTGAATGGTATATTGTACTTGTAGTTTATTTCTTTATCAAATGTTGTATTGTTTTATTGTTTTACTATTTATTTTTATTACAATCCCTACCATGGATATTATTGGCTGTTCCATTATTCGACTCCTCTATGGGAACTTTGTATTATTTAGAATAGCCATGGAGTAGTCTTGGTGTCTCGGAACAGTTGGTTATCAATATACAGTTTATCGACTTCAAGAGCTACACGTTTCCCTTTTAATCTATTCACCTTAAAGAGTGGGTACAGAACTCTGCGCCGTTCTGCAATTTCCTTCAGGAACTGATCCTTCATGCCTATTTTTCATGCCTATTTTTCGTGCCAGTGAGTCTTTTACCCAGGCTTTTAACCATTATTGTATCTTTAAAGAATGCAAATTTGGCAACAATATCTCTGTCCTCTCTGTCCGAAACGGTGTACACAAGTTCGAGTTTGATTGTGTCGACAGTATCGCCTGGGATCTGTAGCGCTTCAATAAATAATTTTTTCACCACACTTTCAGGATCTACACCCTCTTTTTCTTTGATACCAGTAAGTACCATATTTTCTTTCATAGATCTAGTCTGTATTTCAAGTAAGGCTTGTCTCAGAAACATGTTCTCCTTTTTAAGTTCTTTAACGTCCGTTTCAATCGTATTGACGACACCTTTTAGCATGTTTGTTTCTTTCTCCATTGTTGCAGATTTGTCGTCACTCATCTCGAGGCTCACCATTAAATCCTTTCTATCTTTACTGACTAGTTCAAGTATGCCCAGTTGATCATTTATTGACTTTAGCAAGTCGGTTTCTACACTTACTAAAGCATAAATCGTTTTCTTTTGGGGATTGGTTTTCCATGCTTAATCTCCGACATGTTTTGGTGTTGATTGTATTGGTTATACTGGTCGATACATTTCTCTAGACTTATCCTTTTTTTTGTGTTGTTATCCAGATTGAAGGTTATTGCCTACGAGTATGTGGAGTGGAGTGCTAATATTTAGTCAAACTTACAGATATTGAATATTACGTTAATATCTTGAGGCATTCTGCACAGCTGTGTTCAGTCCGCCATGACACCTCAAGCAATGGAGGCTCCTCAGAGGTGGAATGGGAGGACACTCCTCCTCAGTGAATTTCATAAAAATTTAAATTGTAAAACATTTAAAAAGTTATCCTTTTCAGATAAAACTATACTAAATATAATAACATGTCACCAAATAACTGATTAAAACACTATTTCGCAAAGAAGGTCGACAGTAGCCTCAACAGCACTCTGTAGGGTAGCACCATGGTGTAGCCGGAGGACAGCTAGCTTCCGTCCTCCTCTTGGTACACTGACTTCAATACAAAACCTATGAGGCTCATGGTTCTCACCCCCTTCCATAGACTTACACAGTAATTATGGCAACTTCCGGAGGATGTCCTCCAGCCTATCAGAGCTCTTGCAGCATGAACTGACATGTTGTCCACCCAATGAAAGGATCAGAGAATGAATCTCGTACTGAAAGCATAAGCTACAGCTAGCTAGCACTGCAGTGAATGAAATGTGGCAAGTAGTTGACTCAAAGAGAGAGAAAGAGAATAGTTGAACAGTTTTTAACAAATTAATCTCTTCCAAAATGAAGGAGAAGCAAGAGATAAATGGAGAGAGAGAGAGAGATTCAAAAAAAGAAATTCACGTTCAGTTTCATTTACTTAGCTAGCAAATGCAACTAGCTAGTTTAGCCTACTGAAACACCCTGCTCAAACAGAGGGATGCTATGTTAGCTAGCTGGCTATGACTTTCCAACACAACACTGGAACTCTTCCAAGTCAAGGTAAGCTTTTGGTATTACTAATTTATTGCCACCATGGCCCGCCGGTGTAACTGCTTACTGACTGTACACTGACGTTACTGCATGATTTTAGCAGGTTTACTAACGCGTTAGTTCCATTAGCTATGCTGATTATGATGTTACTTTAGCTAATATGGTGACAACGATGTAGGGTGTTTGTCGAGGTATGGCTTGGAAAGTTGTTTTTGTCTGGTCACATACAGCTGATTTGTTGTGCATTGAAGTCCACAAGCGAAGAGAAGCAATACAACGTGGCTGTTATTAGAGTGAACTCTGTTTCCGTGTTATCAGGGGTGTATTCATTCCGCCGATTCTGTTGAAAAAAGTTTCTTAAACGGAAGCAAACGGAACAAAACAGGGATAAACATACCTGATTTTGTCCAATAGAAACTTGTTTGCAACTGTTGGACTAATGATTACACCCTATATCCGCTAGATGCAGACAAGAGTGTGCAGGACGGTATTGAATGTCACTGTCTCTCACCTCAAATTTGTCTCTCGACCTGTGTACACCTACGTTGTAAACTTTCATTCATAGGCTAGGTTGTAGCAACCTCATGATGGAATAGGGAACATTTGAGTATCATGTAGTAGCCTAAACCTATCGCTGTTACATTGAACTGGGTGAATGGAATATGAATGAGAGTCATCCAATTTTGCTAACCATTACTTTGGACAAAATCAGAACGGCACTATTATTGCAATTATGTTTGTATAAAAAATACAGCTCAATTTTAGCAAATTCGAAATTTGCGATTAATCACAATGAGTTACAGCAAATCCGGCAATAAACTAGATTTTTAAAATGTATCGTTTGACAGCCCTAGGTGACATTAAAATGTGAAAATGCACAAGTGAAAGTGTAGTGGACATGAGTCAGTCATGGTTCTGCATTGTAGAATAATAGTGAAGACATCAAAACTATGAAATAACACATATGGAATCATGTAGGCAATCTCTTGGCATTCTCTCAACCAGCTTCACCAGAAATGCTTGGTGAGTTCCCACATATGCTGAGCACGTTGGCTGCTTTTCCTTCACTCTGCGGTCCGACTCATCCCAAACCATCTCAATTGGGCTGAGGTCGGGAGATTGTGGAGGCCAAGTCATCTGATGCAGCACTCCATTACTCTCCTTCTTGGTAAAATAGCCCTTACACAGCCTGGAGGTGTGTTGGGTCATTGTCCTGTTGAAAAACAAATGATAAGCCCAAACCAGACGTGATGGCGTATCGCTGCAGAATGCTGTGGTAGCCATGCTGGTTAAGTATGCCTAAATAAATTACGGACAGAGTCACCAGCAAAGCACCCCCACACCATAACACCTCCTCCTCCATGCTTTACGTTGGGAAATACACATGCAGAGATCATCCGTTCACCCACACCCACGTCTCACAAAGAGATGGCGGTTGGAACCAAAATCTCAAATGTGGAGTCCAGACCAAAGGACACATTTCCACCGGTCTAATGTCCATTGCTCGTGTTTCTTGGTCCAAGCGAGTCTCTTCTTATTATTGGTGTCCTTTAGTCGTGGTTTCTTTGCAGCAATTCGACCATGAATAACTGATTCACACAGTCTCCTCTGAACAGTTGATGTTGAGATGTGTCTGTTACTTGAACACTGTGAAGCATTTATTTTTGTCTGCAATTTCTGAGGCTGGTAACTCTAATGAACTTATCCTCTGCAGCAGAGGTAACTCTGGATCTTCCATTCTTGTGGCGGTCCTCATGAGAGCCAGTTTCATCATAGCGCTTGATGGTTTTTGCGACTGCACATGAAGAAACTTTCAAAGTTCTTTACATTTTCCATATTGACTGACCTTCATGTCTGAAAGTAATGATGGACTGTCATTTCTCTTAGCTTATTCGAGCTGTTCTTGACATAATATCCTAATATTTACATTTTTACATTTTAGTAATTTAGCAGACGCTCTTCTCCAGAGCAACTTACAGTTAGTGAGTGCATACATTTTCATACTTCATTGAAATGCATTCCAGGTGACTACCTCAAGAAGCTGGTTGAGAGAATGCCAAGAGTTTGCAAAGCTGTCATCAAGGCAAAGGGTGGCTATTTGAAGAATCTCAAATATTAAAATATATTTTGATTTGTTTAACACTTTTTGGTTACTACATGATTCCATATGTGTTATTTCATAGTTTTGATGTCTTCACTATTATTCTACAATGTAAAAAAATAGTACAAATAAAGACAAACCTTTGAATGAGTAGGTGTGTCCAAACTTTTGACTGGTAGTGTATGTGATTTGTTCACAAGTTTGTTAATACGTGTCCGAAAACCTTTTTCATGTGTTTTTTTTGTAAGGGAGAGAGAGAGAGTCGCTCCTGTCCCCCTCCACAGGAGTGTGGCGCAGAGCTAGGACGGCCAACATTGAACTTGTCTTTGGGGACTCTCCATTATTTACACTCTGCCTTCCTGTCGACCCGGTGTAAGTTGACAGGAGCAATAGGAAGCTCATGAATAAAACACAGGGGCCTAAAAGCTGGGGGGGGGTATGGGTGCACTGTAAAACATTTCCTGTAAAATTGACAGTAACTTACTGTCAGCAGTTGGCCAGCAAGTTACTGTAGTTTATCGTACAGTACAGCTACTTTAATCGATTTTAAGATAATACATTTTACGGTACCAAAAATGTTACTGTAATCTAATTTACAGTATATTACTTGAATTACCCATGCAGCGACATACAGTTGAAGTCGGAAGTTTACATACACCTTAGCCATACACATTTCAACTCAGTTTTTCACAATTCCTGACATTTAATCCTAGTAAAAATTCCCTGTTTTAGGTCAGTTAGGATCACCACTTTATTTTAAGAATGTGAAATGTCAGAATAATAGTAGAGAGAATGATTGATTTTTTCAGGTTTTATTTCTTTCATCACATTCCCTGTGGGTCAGAAGTTTACATACACTCAATTAGTATTTGGTAGCATTGCCTCTAAATTGTTGAACTTGGGTCAAACGTTTCGGGTAGCCTTCCACAAGCTTCCCACAACACGTTGGGTGAATTTTGGCCCATTCCTCCTGACAGAGCTGGTGTAACTGAGTCAGGTTTGTAGGCCTCCTTGCTCGCACACACTTTTTCAGTTCTTGAGGTCAGGGCTTTGTGATGGTCACTCCAATACCGTGACTTTGTTGTCCTTAAGCCATTTTGCCACAACTTTGGAAGTATGCTTGGGGTCATTGTCCATTTGGAAGACCCATTTGCGACCAAACTTTAACTTCCTGACTGATGTCTTGAGATGATGCTTAAATTTATCCACATACATTTCCTTCCTCATGATGCCATCTATTTTGTGAAGTGCACTAGTCCCTCCTGCAGCAAAGCACCCCCACAGCATGATGCTGCCACCCCCGTGCTTCACGGTTGGGATGGTGTTCTTCGGCTTGCAAGCATCCACCTTTTTCCTCCAAACATAACGATGGTCATTATGGCCAAACAGTTCTATTTTTGTTTCATCAAACCAGAGGACATTTCTCCAAAAAGTACAATCTTTGTCCCCATGTGCAGTTGCAAACTGTAGTCTGGCTTTTTTTATGGCGGTTTTGGAGCAGTGGCTTCTTCCTTGTTGAGCGGCCTTTCAGGTTATGTCGATATAGGACTCATTTACTGTGGATATAGATACTTTTGTACCTGTTTCATCCGGCATCGTCACAAGGTCATTTGCTGTTGTTCTGGGATTGATTTGCACTTTTCGCACCAAAGTATGTTCATCTCTAGGAGACAGAATGCGTCTCCTTCCTGAGCGGTATGACGGCTGCGTGGTCCCATGGTGTTTATACTTGCGTACTATTGTTTGTACAGATGAACGTGGTACCTTCAGGCGTTTGGAAATTGCTCCCAAGGATGAACCAGACTTGTGGAGGTCTACAAATTTTTTTTCTGAGGTCTTGGCTGATTTCTTTAGATTTTCCCATGATGTCAAGCAGCACTGAGTTTGAAGGTAGGCCTTGAAATACATCCACAGGTACACCTCCAATTGACTCAAATGATGTAAATTAGCCTATCAGAAGCATCTAAAGCCATGACATCATTTTCTGGAGTTTTCCAAGCTGTTTAAAGCACAGTCAACTCTGTGTATGTAAACTTCTGACCAACTGGAATTGTGATACAGTGAATTATAAGTGAAATAATCTGTCTGTAAACAATTGTTGGAAAAATTACTTGTGTCATGCACAAAGTAGATGTCCTAACCGACTTGCCAAACCTATAGTTTGTTAACAAGAAATTTGTGGAGTGGTTTAAAAACTAGTTTTAATGACTCCAACCTAAGTGTATTTAAACTTCCGACTTCAACTGTATTACCCAGTGTTCTTTGCAAGTTTTCATTTTCACAATTACCTTTTGGTATTTAGCGGGCGCTCTTACAGTCAGTGCGTCATTGCGTTCAACCAAGTTTGATTTAGAAATAATAATAATCACAGTCATAACAAGTAAACATTTTCTGTAACCGTTAAAATGTTGTTATAGTTAAGGATACATTGGTCTTCAAAATAATTGTAATTACAACAAAATACTGTATTTTATGATATATCTCTGACTATCTCTAGTGCCAATACAAAATGGAGATATTCACGGTAACTTGATGCCAAAGCAATGAAACACAGTACAATATAGTAAAAGTGACCATTAAAGTGTAAGATAATTATTTCTACAGTATTTTACTGTAATTACCGGGGATTAAAGCAAGCAGGTTGGCTGTAGACGTTTGCATATTACAGCATATTAATGATTACTAGGTGTTTTATATCACTCACACGTCTAGAGGCCTGAACAAAGGCATCCAAACTGGCCATGATTACAGGTCAAAACAGATGCACATAGGTAAATATTGTTGTGTTGCTGGATATAGCTCTTCCTAGCTACTGATGCGTGGGTAAATAATGGCCACGACAAGAATGACTCACGATGGACGTTTATTTAAGGGATCTTCTCAGATGATACAGGTATGATGATGATGGGAATTCACATGAAGATACTGGCATTCAGCAGCATTGCCGGGGACATTCCTTGAGACATTGCCCTAGGACGAGTTACTTCTGTACTGTTTACCACGCTTGCCAAATATCAGAACACGATGTAGCTTAGTGGTTAAGAGCGTTGTGCCAGTAACCGAAAGGTTAGGTGAAAAATCTGTCGATGTGCCCTTGAGCAAGGCACTTAACCCTAATTGCTCTGGATAAGAGTGTCTGCTAAATGACTAAATTATTATAACTCAAAATCAAACTGATCATGCAATATAATATGTTTTTCAGGTTTTTTTGACCTTTTTCAATGATGTTGACTACTTTAAACGTCTTCTTCTCCAAGACCGCTGGACCGATCAGCACCAAATTTGGTACATAGCATCTATGTACAAATTTTTTTATGCAACCTTTTGCAGGACTCTAGTTCCAACAATATGACTGCTATGAGCCAATGAGCTTGTACAAATGTTTTTTCCTGTCCAACAGCGCCACCGTGTGGCCAAACTGAACCATACTTTACTGGTTAGCTAGACTCATATTCCTGAGCATGTGTGCCAAATGTCATCACTCTGAGTCAAAAAGATCAAGAGATGTAAACATCTGCCATTTATGTTCTTGTACAAATGGTGATAACACAGGCTATGTCTAGGTGCTCTTGCTCGGGCACAGAAAGATGTCCACGTCCATGCGATGAGCATGTGAGCAAACCTTCAACTACTGAGGGAAAAACTAGACAACTGGCTAACCTAAACATGGCATGGGGATCAAGGGCTATGCCATCTTCACTACAATATTCAACCATTAAAAGGTTTAAGAACCGCTTCTTTCTCCAACCACAATATTTATCCACAATGCATCATAATTTACAGTATGCTGCAGTAAATACAATATATAGCAAAACAGCAATACAGTACTTTATTGGTGATTTGTATTGAAAATAAAATCACCAATTGTTAAAAGTGAGTATTTCATTAAATATTATAGCCTACCAACTGATATTTGGTGTTTTATATCACTTGCACTTTAGGCCTTAACAAAGGCTTCTTAACTGACAGTGACTACAGGGCAAAACAGATCAAAGGACATGGCTAGCCACTCAACCATCAAAGGTAATTTTATCAGGGTTTTCTAAAATTCTTTACAGGATTCAAATTTCAATCAAGTTTAAAAGATAAACATTCAAAATGTTCAATAAAAAATAAATATTTAAATCATTAAGTCATCAAAGCAAAACTATGCAGATCAAATCATAAGGCAAATCAAATCAAATAGTCAACAAAAGGAAGGAACATTTTTTATCAGTAATCAATAGAGAAAGAAATGAAAAAAGAAGAAAAAGATCATGGAGTAAATCTTGTCTGTTAGAGTTTTGGAGTTGATGCTTGAGTGGTTGGTCTAGTGGAGTGGTTGAAGGTCTGTTTCCTTGTATTAGGGGGAGTAGAAAGGGGTGGGGCTTGGGCCGACAGTTTCTGGGTGGTCGGTGCTGTGTCCAGGGTTGGTGCTGGTGCCGGGACCGGAAGCCATGCTGTTGCTGGGGCCGGGACTGGAACCAGTAACTGGGAACTGGGGCTGCTGCAGGTGCTAGGTCGGGGTCTGAGTCTGTAGAGGGGATGAAGGACAACCCGAGGAGCAAGTAGACACACAAGGGAGCCCTAGACCCAGAGGTCAATGGTGGTACTCCCCTGTGGTCTGCTCACTCCGGGTGAAGGGAACCCCTACCACATACGACTTCAATTTCCACAGCACTCTCACTACAGGGTGCTGTAGAAATGGAAAAGTCCCAGGTCCATTTCGTAACGGGTCCAGTGGAGGCCTCTAGTGTGGGGGTAGGAGTTGAATGGGGCGCAGATTGCAACGCACATGTGGCTGTGGAGGAGGTGAGGAGAAGAGGGAAGGAGGAGGTGAGGGGAAGAGTGTTTGGAGAGGGAGAGGTGTATTGAGAGAGAGAGAGAGAAGGATAGAGGAGGTGAAATACCCCCCAAAAATACACAAATGCACTCACTGCTGTACATCGTTATGGATAAGAGTGTCTGCTAAATGACTAAAATGTAAATGTATACAGTGATAGAGAAAAAGAGAGATTGTGAAAGATGTGCACAGACAGAAGGAGAGAGAGAGAGGAAAGAGGGAGGGATAGATTGTGCTCCCCCTTGGCCGTGACCAGCGAGAGGAGATTGATTCATGCTGATATATTTGAGCACAGGGGAGATGACATCATGACATCATCAGCCTGTTGTGGGGGATGATGTCTCAATTGTTGCTCACAAAGGTTCCTAATTGGCTGGGTGGTGAAGTAGGCTGGCTCCTGCTGTCAGCTGCTCCTAATGAATGGAATAGCCTCATTGAAACTGTGTCCACATTGAGTCACTGCTTGCTGCATGCAGACAGAGGATGCCAGGAGACACTTCCTGTTCTGTATCTATTTATCTATGGCCCTTCCTCTAGGTCCACTCTGACATGTGTTACTCAGGAACACAATCTACTCAGACAGAGGATGCCAGAGGGCATATGCGGATGCCAGGTTGGTATTTCCCTCTAGTGAGAGGAGTGTTGTTGCAAAGGCCCACACTCTGAGCCTGCTACTTTACAAAAAAACATTTGTGTCCATATTGTTATGATTTACGTTATGCTGAAACTGGACATATGGTACCCCTCAACAGACAAATGGACATATGGTACCCCTCAACAGACAACACACCAATGAGATGTCAGCACTGAGGAGGGCGCGCATCTTGCCGGTTCCTGCTCGACTTTGTTTTATTATGGCTATTTTTGCGTTAATTATTACTTTGTTTCCTCAGAATGTTCGTGCAATAATTTCCTGCGACCAATAAACACTTCTGGATTATGAATCGGAAGCTACACACTTATCTCTCAGCCTCCCAGATCTGAAATACTACATTCGCTCCTTTGTTCCCCGCACAACAGGCTTACCTGTTCATGCTGACCAAGATGATCGAAGGCAACGCCGGCGATGTAGAAGATGAAGGAAAGGGGGCCTCCAAGCTAGGCTGAAAAGACAGGTTGCACAGCCTCCTCTTCCTAGTATCCTGATGGCTAATGTCCAATCACTGGAAAATTACCTTTCTGAACTCCGAGCAAGGCTTCAATCACAGAGGGATTTCAGGGAATGCTGTGCCTTTGTTTTTACAGAGACATGGCTTACGGACGATACACTCGACTCTGCTATTCAACCAGACGGCTTTTCCATTTTCCATATGGCTCGAATGGTGGCTTCTGGTAAGAGTAAGAGGGGAGGGGTATGTTTCCTCATCAATACTGTACTGTACTGTACTGAAGTTGAAAACATCTTGAGCGCCTGCTCACCCCGACATGGAGTTTCTGATGCTAAAATGCTGACCCCACTATATGCGAGGGAATTCACATGCATTATTATCACAGCTGTGTACATGCCGCCACAAGCAAACACCAAGGCGGCACTGAGCGAACTGTACAAGATCATTAGCCAGCACGTTTAAAACAAATTTTTCCAAAATATCACCAACAAGTATCCTGCCCTACAAGAAAAAAAATGTGCTGGACCATGTACAGTGCATTCGGAAAGTATTTAGACCCCTTCCCTTTTTCCACATTTTGTTACATTACAGCCTTATTCTAAAATGGATTAAATAAAACATTTTCCTCATCAATCTACACACTATATCCCATAATGACAAAGCAAAAACAGGTTTGTAGAAATGTTTGCAAATTTATTAAAAATAAAAAACATAAATACTCTATTTACATAAGTATTCAGACCCTTTGCTATGAGATTCGAAATTGTGCTCAGGTGCATCCTGTTTCCATTGATCATCCTTAAAATGTTTCTACAACTTGACTGGAGTCCAACTGGAGTAAATTAAATTGATTGGACATGATTTGGAAAGGCACAAACCTGTCTATATAAGGTCACACAGTTGACAGTGCATGTCAGAGCATAAACCAAGCCATGAGGTCGAAGGAATTGTCCGTAGAGCTCAAAGACAGGATTGTGTCGAGGCACAGATCTGGGGAAGGGTACCAAAAAATGTCTGCAGCATTGAAGTTCCCCAACAACACAGTGGCCTCCATCATTCTTAAATGGAAGAAGTTTGGAACCACCAAGACTCTTCCTAGAGCTAGCCGCCCGGCCAAACTGAGCAATCGGGGGAGAAGGGCCTTGATCAGGGAGGTGACCAAGAGCCCGATGGTCACTCTGACAGAGCTCCAGAGTTCCTCTGTGGAGATGAGAGAACCTTCTAGAAGAACAACCATCTCTGCAGCACTCCACCAATCAGGCCTTTATGGTAGAGTGTCCAGACGGAAGCCACTCCTCAGTAAAAGGCACGACAGGCCTCTTGGAGTTTGCCAAAAGGCACCAAAATGACTCTCAGACTATGAGAAACAAAATTCTCTGGTCTGATGAAACCAAGATTGAACTATTTGGCCTGAATGTCAAGCGTCACGTCTGGGGGAAACCTGGCACCATCCCTACGGTGAAGCATAGGGGTGGCAGCATCATACTGTGGGAATGTTTTTCAGCGGCAGGGACTAGGAGACTAGTCAGGATCAAGAGAAAGATGAACAGAGCAAAGTACAGCGAAATCCTTGATGAAAACCTGCTCTAGAGCGCTCAGGACCTCAGACTGGGGTGAAGGTTCAACTTCCAACAGGCAATGACCCTAAGCACACAGTCAAGGCTTCAGGACAAGTCTCAGAATGTGCTTGAGTGGCCCAGCCAGAGCCCGGACTTGAACCCGATCGAACATCTCTGAAGAGACCTGAAAATAGCTGTGCAGCAACGCTCCCCATCCAACCTGACAGAGCTTGAGAGGATCTCCAGAGAAGAATGGGAGTAACTCCTCAAATACAAGTGTGCCAAGCTTGTAGGGTAATATCCAAGAAGACTCGAAGCTGTAGTCGATGCCAAAGGTGCTTCAACAAAGTACTGAGTAAAAGGTCTGAATACTTATGTAAATGTCATATTTCAATTTTTTATTTTTCATATACTTGCACACATTTCTAAAAACCAGTTTTTTCTTTGTCATTATGGGGTATTGTGTGCAGATTGATCAGGGAAAAAACGATTTAATCAATTTTAGAATAAGGCTACAACTTAACAAGATGTGGAAAAAGTCAAGGGATCTGTATATACAAACATCCGTGACGCGTACCAAGCCATCCCCTGCCCCCTCTTAGGCCAATCAGATCACGTCTCTGTTCCAACTCCCCGCCTACAAGCAGCAACACAGAGAATAGTAAGGCACTGAACAGAAGTGGCAGACTCAATGCTGCAGGACTGTTTTGAGAATACTGATTGGAATATGTTCAAAGACTCATCCACTCAGGACCATTGAGGAATATACACTGTGGCCAGTTCACAGAAAGGTTAGCTCTTACAGACAGTGAGTCACGTGGTGGTGGCTTGCTATATAAAGCAGGCAGACTGGCATCAAGGCATTCAGTTACTGTTTGTTTGAACGTTAGAATGGGCAAAACTAGTGACCTAAACGACGTTGAGCGTGGTATAATTGTCTATGCCAGGCGCTCCAGTTCCAGTATCTCAGAAACAGCCAGCCTCCTGGGCTTTTCACACTTGACAGTGTCTAAGGTTTACCGAGAATGGTTCGACAAACAAAAAACATCCAGTCAGCGGCAGTCCTGTGGGCAAAAACAGCTAGTTGATGACAGAGGTTGAAGGAGAATGGTATCGTGCAAGCTAACAGGCAGGCCACAAACAGGCAAATAACAGCACAGTACAACAGTGGTGTGCAGAACGGCATCTCGGAACGCACAACTCCTCGTCCTTGTCACGGATGGGTCCTTGTCACACCGGGTTACACTCTTATCAGCTAAAAACAAGAAGGAGCGGCTCCAGTGGGCACGCGATCACAAACACTGGACAATTGAGGAGTGGAAAAACATTGCCTGGTCTGACGAACCCGGTTCCTGTTGCATCGTGCTGATGGCCGAGTCCGGATTTGGCGTAAGCAACATGAGTCCATGGCTCCATCCTGCCTGGTGTCAACGGTACAGGCTGCTGCTGGTGGTGTAATGGTGTGGGGAATGTTTTCCTGGCACACGTTAGGTCCCTTGATACCAATGTTTCCATGACCCAAAGAATTCAGGCTGTTCTGGAGGTAAAGGGGGATCCGACCCGGTACTAGATAGGTGTACCTAATAAACTGGCTACTGAGTGTACATCATCAGTCACAGGCTTCATTAAGAAATGTATTTATAATGTTGTACACACAATAACAATCCGGACATACCCCAACCAAAAACCCTGGAGGAACAGACATTTCCGTACCATGCTGAGAGCCGGTACTGCAGCATTCAATGTCAGCAGAATGAACTCTGTTGACTTGGTGACAAGCGACATGCACAAGGCAAGCAGGTACGAGCTCCGCAAATCCATTAGGGAAGTAAAAAGACAATACAGACTCAAGCTTGAATTGATGTTTGACAACTCAGACTCGCAACGCATATGGCAAGGACTACAGACAATCACGGACTACAAAGGCAAATCCAGCTGTGTGGTGCCCACCGAAGCCTCCCTCCCAGACGAGCTTAACACATTCTATGCTCGCTTCGAGGCAGACAGTACCTAGCCATCTAGGAAGACTCTCGCTGCTCCAGACGACCATGTTTTTTGTTCTCCCGGGGCTGATGTAAGGAAAACTCTCAAGACTGAATACTCACAAAGCCGCTGGCCCAGATGGCATCCCTGGCCGCATGCTCAGAGTGTGTGCTGACCAGTTAATGGGCGTCTGACATCTTCAACCAGTCCCCGTCCCTGGCTGTAGTCATCGTCCCAGTGCCCAAGAAAAACAAGATGACATGCCCAAATGACTCTCACCCTGTCACACTCACCCTGGTCATCATTGAGTGCTTTGTGAGGCTGGTCATGGCTCATATCAAGTCCAGCATGTCAGGCACACTGGACCCACTCCAATTTTCCTACCGCTCCAACAGATCCACGGAAGATGCCATTTCCATCGCTATTCACACGGCCGTAACAAATCTGGACAAGAGGAAAACCTATGTGAGAATGCTATTCATTGATTACAGTTCAGCATTCAACACTATTGTTCCCTCAAAGCTCGACACCAAGCTCAGAGCCCTGGGTCTGGATACCACTCTTTGCAACTGGATCCTGGACATCCTGATGGACAGACCACAGGCTGTGAGGATTGGCAACAACAACTCCTCCACACTGACTCTCAACACAGGGGCTCCCAGGGGTGTGTCCTCAGCCCTCTGCTGTACAGCCTGTTCAACCACAACTGCATGGCTTTGGACAACACATTTACATTTACATTTTAATCATTTAGCAGACGCTCTTTTCCAGAGCGACTTACAGCTAACACCAACTCCATCATCAAGTTTGCTGACAACACCACGGTTGTTGGCCTGATAACCAACAACGATTAGTCAGCCTATAGGGAGGAGGTAAGTGAACTGGCATTGTGGAGCCAGGACAACAACCTCTCCCTCAATGTCAGGAGTTGATTGTTGACTTCAGGAAGCAGAGGAGGGAACATGCCCCGATCCACATCAACAGGACTGCAGTAGAGAGAGTCAGCAGTTTTAAGTTCTTTGGCTTCCACATCACCAAGGACTTGACATGGACCAACAACACCACCACTCTTGTCAAGAGGGTG